AAAACTACATTTCTCATCTTTATAATTTAAAAATACTTTTAAAAGTTGAATTTATTGAATTTCGCACAAAATTACACGAGGGCTGTCTGCACTAGCCATCCCTAATTCAGAAATGATAGACTAGGGGTTTGGTTTGGTTGTTGTTAAGCGTAAAGCTACACAAAGTTATCGAAACCCGATTTTCAGCGTTAAATGCTTGCAGTCTTATCGCTGAGCAACTGGGGAGCTAGACTAGAGGAAAGGCAATTATTTAACACCACCTACCGCCAACTCTAACGAAAAGTGGGTTCGACTGTATATTATAATGTCCCCACGGCTGAAAGGGCGAGTATGTTGGGTATGGGATTCAAACTCGTAAGCCACAGATTGCGAGTCGAGTACCTTAACAAAAGTGGGCAGTAACGATACACTATTTTCTATACACTATAAGTTGGTAGTAAGGCCCGGCATGGCCAGGTGGTTAGGGAGCTCGTGGGGGCGTTATAATGTGACGGTCAATCCCACTATTCGTTGGTAAAAGAGTAGCCCAAGAGTTGGCGGTGGGTGGTGATGACTAGCTGCCTCTCCTCTAGTCTTACACTGCTAAATTAGGGACGGCTAGCGCAGATAGCCCTCGTGTAGCTTTGCGCGAAATTCAAAACAAACAAAGTTGGTAGTAATGATACATGATTTACAAAAGTGATCAGTAGATATAAAGGACTTGTACATACTTGACAACAATGATGTTATGTATTTAGTGTGACTTGGGCCTTCTTGGAGGTCGTACGTCTTAGTTTGTTTGTTTTGTTTGTTTTTTAAGTTAAGCACAAGGCTACACAATGGGCTATCTGTGCTCTGCCCACCACGGGTATCGAAACCCGGATTCTAGCGTTGTAAGTCCGCAGACATACCGCTGTGCTACTGGGAGGTCGTACGTCTTAGAAAGTTCTTTTTTCATCACATATTAAATTGAGTTTGGTTCCAGTAAGTACCGCAATAAGTATTTCTTTTTTGTTTATCACTCGTGCAAGAGAAGTAACCAAACAACAGTAGTGAAATCTCGTTCATCGATAATCAAATATATATATAGTTTCAGGATAATTTACTGCTATATATATATATACTAATACATACAATTAGAATACATCAGTGTCTAAATTACCATTTCGTTTAACAAGAATGATAACATTAGCAAATCGTTTTAACACACACTCTGCGCATGGATATTAATAAGTTAAGTTTTAAGCTCAAGTAGTCCATCTCATTCTTTCTGATTACTTATACACTTGGAATTTTCCAGAGAATCTTCTATACCTAAGTTTAACTGACAATAATAGTTTCTTGTTGTTGTTAGTGAAGATATTTGAAGGTCCTTTATCAGACAGGTGACTACCGTACATTTATTGGCAATATTGAAATATCCATTCAAACTATTAGATGGCCAGGATAGTTTAAATATTTCAAATACATTTACTGCTGCGTTCAACAGAAGATGCTAGGTTACTTTACATCAAAACAAGTTGATCAAGTAACTTATCGGCAGGTATTGAATCAACGTAACCATAAGATCTCACGCTGCTAAGACTATCAACTCTTGGGAAATATTCCGTCTTTGAAAAATCACAATAACCCAATTTTTTTTTAGGAAAGCTTTAACAAAGTAATCAAGCACGTGCAGAATTAATACAACGCTCTTGGTGGCACAGCGATATGTCTGCGGACTTACAACTCTAGAAACACGTGGTGGGCAGAGCACAGATAGCCCATTGTGTAGCTTTGTGCTTAACTTCAAACAAACAAACCAGTCAGACTCAATACTAGTCAGACAATATTTCCGTCGTAAATATCTACAAAAGGTATATATGATTTAAATGATACATGAAATCGAACCATAATAATTCATTTTGTATTTAGGAGATACAAATAGTACAAGGTATTTGATCACTTTTGTTCATATTTTCTTTCTTCAGAAATATATCTTTACAAAGTATTCCTTCAGTAAGAATACAATACATTATTGACAAACAGCGAACGCGGACAACGCTACAATAAGAATTTACTGTTCGCATTCTCGTTCAGTAAGTTAATATATCAATGAAAGTTTAAAGACCTAATTTACAGAGCAGTAGTTCTTATTATAGTTCGTTTTTCATCTAATTAGATTAAACTTCGAAACACTTTTGAAAGTCTACCAATAACTGATTCAGATTAGCATGCTAATTTTCTCGTGTGAGATGTACTTTGTAAGATTTAAGGTACTTTACTAGCATAAGAATGAAAATAATGAATGAGTAACAGATCTCAGCTTAAACGTCATTTTATCGACGATCAGGAAAGAGTTAAAGAGTAGGGAAGTTAATAGTGGTGAATGAGAGTGTGCTACGACCATTTAATTTAGGTAGTTGGTGGACTATATTAGCAGATGTTTTATTGGGCAATGAGTGTTGTTAGACATTACTGTCGTAAAATAAATTAAGTGAATCTGTAAGCGTATTTTATGAAGGGGGGTGACTGATTAATACTTAAGTATATATTTTATATTACGCTGACGTTATGTGAGATGGCATTTTATGCAAACTTCTTTCAAAGCCGCTGAAGCTCCGAACCATCGCTTTCTGTCCAAAGAGAAAGATAGGAAGTTGTGAATATTAAAAACTGAATTATAACTAAACCGGACTGGCCTAGCAGCTAAAGTGCTTGCTTAGGTTTTGAATCCAAGGGTTCATGGCTAGCATCTCGTTTCCACAAAAACACGCTACGTACTTAGGGGGCGTCTAATCCCATGCATTATTCGGTCAGATCAAAGTAGTCCAAAAGTTGGCGATCAGTACAGTTGACTAAGGGTGCTTTCTATCTAGTCTTATTTTAAAATTTAGTCCCAATACGTTCCTTCTATAGCTTCGCGCGAAAATTCTAAAGAAACATAAATAAACCAGCCGTTTTATAGATAACTAAATATCGCTTTATAAACAATATATTAAACTGGATAACCCAGAGACAATATAACGATAGTTTTTCGTCAATTATTCGAAGGCAGATAGGTGGCAAGTTAATTTTTCAGGCTCAGGTTACGTCAATATTTTATTTGATCTTTTTAATGTAATCTTCTTTCCTGGAAGTATCATCCATTTTCAATCACTGAAGTGTATTCAGTCCAGGATTCATTCTCATGTTAAATATAATCATTCTGAAAGTGGAAATGTTAAACGCTATCATATCGTGTCAGAATAATATAAGAAATTACATGACTTCTATATAATATAGAAGAGAGTGAAAGCCGTAGTGTGTGTGTGTTATTATTAGTTCTGTAATTTTCTCGGCTAATGTGTTTTACAGTACGCACCATATCTTATTGTTGGTAATATTTTCTTCCGTGCCAGCTGCGGATCGTGAGAACTTAACTGGAGGGTTGTAGACATTTTAGACTGTAGGTTTAGAATCCGCCGATTTTTAACACCTAGGGAGTTAAAAACTGCCTCTTCCTTACGTTTCTATTACCTCGACTACGGAGAAGAAAAAAATTGGTGATAATTTAATATTTTATATTACTGTCAACATCCAATGTTTCTACCAAAATAACAAAAGCAATTATATACTGAAACTTGGCAGGAAGCACTGCCATACGGATATATACAGCAGTAAAAATACTAGAAAATCAGTAGTGTTGTTTGAATGAATACTTCACTGTGTACTCCTTATCACTCCGCCACTACGTTTTCTCCTGTGCTTTGCAATCCTTCTTCTGATCAGTGATGTGTAAACTACCATTTTCGCTTTACTTTATACCAAATACTTAGTCACACCATTTCATACTCCTGCTCCAGTGTCGTCTGCTAGCAAGTTACGTGAAAAATATGAACTACGATAAACGAAACAATAACAAGTTAAACATACGGATTTCGCATACAGATAAACGAAACGATAACAAGTTAAACATACGGATTTCGCATACAGATAAACGAAACGATAACAAGTTAAACATACGGATTTCGCATACAGATAAACGAAACGAATAAAAAGTACGCACAAAACATCAAAATGGAAAGGATTAAATATGAATTCGGGGAATCTGGAGATATTCTTTTATGGCAGCCCATACGTGTATTATTATCATGGAAACAAGGTTTCTATGTTACTTGAAAATTAAAAAAAAAAATTATCGCAATCTCTGTACGGAAAACGACCGTTACTTGTGTGTAATATTTTTCTTGTGTTTCATTGTCGTTAGTGTTTTTCTACAGTTAACGGTTATTTTAGAGCTAATTTACAGGTTTTAAATTATTTATTACATGATAAATAACTTTGATCAGTGATTTATATTCTTCTGTACATATTGTTTTGTTACTCATTGAATGAAAGTCTTTAACTGGAACCAAAATTCAAATAACTTGATAAAACATAAGTAACGTTTGCAATCCCAATAGAGTTAATAGTTTTGTTTTTGTGTATAATGAAGTGTTACAATCCCAATAGAGTTAATAGTTTTGTTTTTGTGTATAATGAAGTGTTACAATCCCAATAGAGTTAATAGTTTTGTTTTTGTGTATAATGAAGTGTTACAATCCCAATAGAGTTAATAGTTTTGTTTTTGTGTATAATGACGTGTTACAATCCCAATAGAGTTAATAGTTTTGTTTTTGTGTATAATGAAGTGTTACAATCCCAATAGAGTTAATAGTTTTGTTTTTGTGTATAATGAAGTGTTACAATCCCAATAGAGTTAATAGTTTTGTTTTTGTGTATAATGAAGTGTTACAAAACAAATAGTTTAGCTGTTGGTTTGTGATAATGAATTGCCACTATGGATTTAGATGACATTAAACAAGCACGCATTTTTCACTTTCCCTACCTAAAAAAAAATGAAATGAAGTGTGATTTAAGATGTAAACCAACGCGCATTATTAGTGCTATATTTTGTTAGCGTTATGACTCAAAATGTTATATTTTGTCAGTTTTATAGCTGAAAAAGGTGTTTTAGTAATTTTATGACTCGAACCCATCAGTTTCTATGTTTTTCTCAGATCATACCGAATGGCAGCACGCCTAGACTTGTAAGCTCACCGTTTTCTAAGAGAGTTTAATAAAATCTGCCTCGTCTCGTCGCTCTTCAGAAAGTTGGTTGTACCAGGTTGTTTGGGTTGAAGCTTCACACATACACTAAAACTGACACTGATGACAAATTATCAACCATTTATCGTATTAATAAGTGAAGTAAGTTACTTTTGTTTCTTATTATCAATTCAATGTATATTTATTGTGTACTTTAGTATTTTGAACGGTTGTGATAGTTTGAGTTGCAAAAAAAAATACTTTTCAAAGTTCAGATTCATCACAAACATTCCATTGTAAATTAGAATTTCTGACACTAAATCGGATTGTTTATTTTCATTAAATTAATACAAAACTCTAGTCTGTTCCTTTAGTTTTATTAATAGAATGCGTGTAGCATGAAGACGGAAGAAACATCGTCTAAGACTTCGAGTAATGATGACTTGCAAGTAATTCACAAACTATTAGTAACGATGACTTGCAAGTAATTCACAAACTATGAGTAACGATGACTTGCAAGTAATTCACAAACTATGAGTAACGATGACTTGCAAGTAATTCACAGACTATGAGTAACGATGACTTGCAAGTAATTCACAAACTATGAGTAACGATGACTTGCAAGTAATTCACAGACTATGAGTAACGATGACTTGCAAGTAATTCACAAACTATGAGTAACGATGACTTGCAAGTAATTCACAGACTATGAGTAATGATGATTTGCAAGTAATTCACAGACTATGAGTAAGGATGACTTGCAAGTAATTCACAGACTATGAGTAAGGATGACTTGCAAGTAATTCACAGACTATGAGTTACGATGACTTGAAAGTAATTCACAGACTATGAGTAAGGATGACTTGCAAGTAATTCACAGACTATGAGTAAGGATGACTTGCAAGTAATTCACAGACTATGAGTAAGGATGACTTGCAAGTAATTCACAGACTATGAGTAAGGATGACTTGCAAGTAATTCACAGACATTAGTAAGGATGACTTGCGAGTAATTCACAGACTATAAACGATAATATATATATATATACATTTTTATAGCTAAATAACGAAATATTGAATGGTGCTGATTGTGCCTTGTTATAATATTTATTGTTTTTATGTTTCCCGCGCATGAATTAAGGTGAAGGTTTCTTTACGTGATATTTAGAACGTCAAGAAGGATGAATTACAGAAACAAAGCAAATGGATTTTCTATTACACATCTTACTTGATGGGTTTTCTATTACACATCTTACTTGATGGGTTTTCTATTACACATCTTACTTGATGGGTTTTCTATTACACATCTTACTTGATGGGTTTTCTATTACACATCTTACTTGATGGGTTTTCTATTACACATCTTACTTGACGGGGTTTCTATTACACATCTTTACACATCTCACTTGACGGGGTTTCTATTACACATCTCACTTGACGGGGTTTCTATTACATCGATCTTACTTGACGGGGTTTCTATTACACATCTTGCTTGATGGGTTTTCTATTACACATCTTACTTGATGGGTTTTTCTATTACACATCTTACTTGATGGGGTTTCTATAACACATCTTACTTGACAGGGTTTTCTATAACACATCTTACTTGACAGGGTTTCTATTACACTTCTTCCTTGATATGGCTTTCATCCTCAGATTTATCGTATACACTTCCTAGGTAACGACTTGTGTAATAAGTTATATTAATAATGAGTTGACTTTGAATACATATTAATAATATAACGCCACTTACAGTTTCATATATATTTATGACATCATATTTCGTTAGAAAGACTAGACAACAGGTGCCGCCACCAACTTAAGTTGGCCTTTCGTATTCGTTATCTTCTCTTAACGACTGATAAGAATCACGCGGGCTTCTTTCTTCCAGTATCGATCAAAGATGTTGCCCGCTGATGGTTCACATAACGTAAGTTGAAACAACAGTTAAATGTGAAATCAGTGTAATTATTTTACTGGTCGTAACAAGCGAAAAAGTAAACTAATCATTCTTTACTTATCACTAAATAACAATTTGTGCGGTAAATAAGACTTCTAGAAATTGACATATGTATTCAAAATTGGTAATTCTTACTATTTCAAAGTAAAACAATAATTGATTTGGTTAAAACCTGAAATCAAATGATTTAATAAATGATATTTGTTTCTATTTTATTCTGACGAATTCAGAAGAACAGGCAAGGTATACTACGATTACCAGGTAAATAAAGCTTGAATTATTTATATTATCTGAATGTGTACGTATGTGCAGTCATGTATGAATATATTTGTATGTGAGGCGAGTGATGTGCTTTTCTCTTTACATAAATTTGATGTTTTCTTGTCTGACTGTCTTGAGACTAGGCAGGCTGATATCCCCAAAAGTGGCAGCATTCTTTTCTGAGTCTATCGTTATATTAATAGCTATTCACATACATACATTACAGATATATTGAATTTTCATTCAGCGCTGTCTTTACAAAATAATATTTTAGAAATTACGATTATTTAGAACATACTCGCCTGTTACCAGAGAGTTAAAATGTTTGTTACTCTAAAAGGCCCCGATTGTAAAATTAGCGCGTAGGACTAAATAACGAATTTTATATTCAAAGGTTAGGTAATACGAATAATTTCAAAAATAGGATCCTATGTCTTCATAGATGAGGGATATGCTCATTTCTCGATCTATTTTAAAGGTGCTCGGGTTATCGAGTTTTCCCACTGCGTTTGTTTGTTTGTAATTAAGCACAAAGCTACACAGTGGGCTATCTGTACTCTGACCACCACGGGTATCGAAACCCGGTTTCTAGCGTTGTAAGTCTGCAGATATACCGCTGAGCAACTGTGGGGCTTTCCGTTATGAAATCTATAAAAGTAATTTATGTTTATGGATTTCCTTGAACAGTTATCAGGCAAAATTATTTTTTTATTTTTAAGTTTTAAGTGTATGTGACTTATGAATGAGCTACCAGTGTTTATAATGTTCGTATTCATTATTCCAGAAATATTTAATTAGTTATATTTTATTTCCATTTCATCTTATAGCTATGGTTTTGGTTTTGTTTCACCAATGAAGGCTGTTTTTGGATAAAAGAAAGGTTGCGCTTTAAGAAAGAAGAAAGTTAATTTTGTCAATGCTGGGATGAAGTGTCTTGGTGTACTTGAAATTCTAACTCTTGTATAAATTGAAACCCTAGCTCTTCAACTGCAGGCAAATTAGTCCTACTACTAAAAGGAAGTTTGAAGGATTTAATTAGCTGACAGAGTATTGGTTAAGAAAAAAAAACTGGAGTCGCCAGTGTTGGAACGGTTGATTTTTCGTCAAGGAAACAACAAACGCCAAAGTTTACAGATGTAACTAGAGCAAACTTTATTTATGAGCATTCCTCAGTGATTTCTTTACCTTAGTAATCTCACGACTCTGTAAATGACACTCTTTATTAAATTTACAGAACGGCAATGACAGCTGAAGCTACACTGAATTCTGACTTAATTGAACACGTGGACACAAAGACAAGGCGAAATTACTAGCATCCCAACTTCTATCTACAACTCGATCACTGAACTTTCTTTATTAGAACTGAGCTGCTCTCTTTGACGACTGAGACAAAATTAGGTTGAAGAGTGAATTAAGACTTAATAAAGACTCAACTAAGATCGAAACACCCAGGTAGCAAAGAAGGAATTCCTTCTTAGCATCCACCACCTTTACCAAAGTCGTTAAAAATGACCTCTCTGTATTCCTATAAAAACGTTAGGCCAACAACCTAGAGTCATCAACTTCCAAGAACTTATTGTCAACAATTACAATGAAGTCTCAGAGATAGTCTAAAACTGGCTTCTACCAAGAATATGTCAACAATTATCAGGCATAAAAGCAGTCAAAAGTGGACTTGTATAGATAGTCTGAGTCGTGAAGTTTGATGCCGAAAGCAACTTGAAAATCTATGGGGTATACATTTTTGTCTCATGTTCATAAAGAAATAGGTTTGAATTTTTTTTAGAGGGCCATCTCTCTAGTCTATCCTATAGAGAGCGTTTTGTTGTGTTGACATCAGAAATTCATTTTGTTCTACTGTTAACATTTAATCAAATTATCTTTTCATTGTGATTTTTTAACGATTGTTATATAATGGTCTCCCAGTGAATCAGCGGAAAGGTGACGGATTTACAACGCTAAAATCCGGGTCGGATTCCCTGTGTTGGATAAAGCGTAGATAACCTGTTGTATAGCAAAAGTTTTATAACATAATATCATTTTACATATACTCTGTACAAATTACACTTCTAATAGCTGAAGGTTTATAGCATTAAAATCTGGTTTCGGTACCCTCGGTGGGCACATCAGAGATAGCAAATTATGTAGCTTTTTCTTAACAACAAACGAGATTTTACGCTTGTAATTTTCTTTTTCAAATTCTAAGATATTCTAATAAAACCGTGTTTTTTTATTATATTAAATTCGCATATTATAAATACTAGCGGAAATACCCGCCCTCCGGGCAGGTAAAACTGCTAGTTCCTGCGGAAGTATTTCTTTGTAGACGCAGTTATCAATGAAAGTGTCTTGCTTTTCTGTTGCAACACTATGAGATTTTCACTAAAGAAAAAAAAAATTTTTTTTAATTTTTTTTTATTGCTTTATATTTGAAACTTGCTCTTTTTTGTAACTTATATTGGTTAAATCTGAAACTTACTCCTTTTTGTTTGTACTTTTTATTGGTTACATCTGGAAAATCATTTTTGTGGGAAATTCAATTGTTTTATTTATTGCTAAGCTATAAAAAATACTGCCTAGTTATAGAAATATTACCCAGTTATGATTGGTGCAGTATTTTACGAGATTTGGACGTATACATCGCAAGTTCCATTCTACTAAAGATTTAAAATCATGCTGGTGAGTCAAACGTGAAGTGTTTGTAAATCTTGTGACTTGTTATCTTATAACGTTCCAGAATGGAACGTTTCTGTAAATTTTGTTACTAGTGATTTCAAGAAATAGATAGTAAAATGTTTTGACAACCAAGTACAAAAATATATAAACACTTTCCACGTTCTTTACGAATGAAGAGAGACTGGATAAGTTTGAGAACACATAACAATTCATTAAATATTTTGTCCAACATCGCAACGACATACCATAATCTAACGCAAGAATTATTAAAGTTACCTTTATAGCTTTTAATACTGATATAGATGACACCTTAGTCTCTAAAGTCTGAAACATTATTGAATGTATTAAAATCACGAAGAAATCAGTTGAATGAAGTACGTTATTTATGAATAAATATACGTAGTTTTGGATTTATTTGATTAGGAATTTTTAAATAGATACACGAATATG